CAATAAAGTTATAATATTATGAGACTAAGGTTGTAATCATAATATTACAAGATTAAAGTAATAATACTACAACAATAAAGTTATAATATTATGAGACTAAGGTTGTAATCATAATATTACAAGATTAAAGTAATAATACTACAACAATAAAGTTATAATATTATGAGACTAAGGTTGTAATCATAATATTACAAGATTAAAGTAATAATACTACAACAATAAAGTTATAATATTATGAGACTAAGGTTGTAATCATAATATTACAAGATTAAAGTAATAATACTACAACAATAAAGTTATAATATTATGAGACTAAGGTTGTAATACAATATTACAAGATTTAAGTCATAATTTTACGAGAATAACAGTCATGTCTTTGAAGAAGTTCATCATGACTTGGGTCACTAGATTAATATGCTTTCATCCAAATTAGCTACATTCTGACTAAATCTGTTTATCATATAGTCATTTGCACAATTTCCAATTCCTGCTACTGATAATTTGATGCTAATGTGCTAAAAGATTAACTATTTATTTTAAGCAATACTAAAGAACAACTTGACAAGTTGTCAACCACTTAACAAGTCAACAACTTGACAAGTCAACATTCCCTATTTTAAAGCAGTGATAACGGCATGTTTTTTCACGTAAAGAGCTTTTTCGTATTATGACTTTATTTTAGAATATTATGACTTTAATCTGGTAACATTATGACTTTATTCTCATAATTTTATGAATTTATTCTATGTAATGTTACGGCTTTGTTCTCATAATATTATGACTTTATAAGCTTGTAAAGTTACAACTTTATTCTTGTAATATTATGACTTTATTTTCATACAACTTTAATGTCATAATAATATGACTTTATTCTTGTAATTTAAAAAAAAATCTTGTGTGGTCCTAATACTCTCGTAACATCAAGTCTCTGCTTTTACAAAATGTAATAATCTTCCTGAAAATGATATGAGGATGAGAAGTGAGAGGTCCTGATAGTGGAGCTGCACTGAAAGCTCTGCTGTGAAAGATGGAGAATCACAAAGACTCTCTGATCCAGTTCTGGTAGAGGTTTGTTTGCACTTACAAATGATCCAACCCGGGACAGAAACTAAATGAGGTGGGAGGAAGAAAATAAAAAAGTGTTTGCAGATCCGGCGAGGGAGAGAGGCAAAAGGAGGCCTAGGAGGGGTTTGTAAATACACAAACAATGCAAAGAGATCGTCTGAGAGGAATCAAGATGGAAAACATGCCACAGTGTCTTCAGAAAGTAAAGCAAGAAAGAGATAAATGGGGCAGGTAAATACACCAGAGGCAACACAGAGCTGGAAAGGTTTTGTAGATCATGAGTAAGTTCATCAGTGAAAACTTTCAAAGATGATAAACCACAAGCAGATTACTATAGAGAATATCTCTAAGTTTATGTTTCCATATTAAAAGATTGAAATATGTGAGTACATAACAAAAACTGGCATTCAAACACTTTTTTTATTTGTTTATTTTTTAACTTTTCCAACCAAGAAGGTACAAACCATCTGAAACATTAAGTCTCTAACCAGGATACATTCTTTGGGACTTTGGTCCACTCAGATGTTCAGACTTTCCTTTAATAAACAAACAACAAAAACAAAACTTTACGTGCCTAAGGCTCATCAAATAAAAGATGACAATAAAAGTTTTGCATCAAACACTAAAAGTTTGTTGTTTGTGCAGCGCCACAACTAAATCTCAAGTTTAAAAGATTGAAGCAGCAGTCCCAGTACTCACCCATGCGGACGGCGGAGAGGGTGTTGGCCTGGCTGAAGGAGAGCGGTGCCATAGTCAGCAGCAGGACAATAACATAAATTGACAGCAGCAGTGCTGGCAGAGCCGGCATCTTCCACTGCTCCTCATGGAGAATGGTCTGCTGGCTGCCTGTACCGCCACCTTCACAACACACAGAGGAGACAACATCAATGAGCTATTTATTATAAGCAATGACATCACCCATTATTTTCTAGATAGCTCATTATATATGTGCCTTGATAACACTATGTTTGATTGAATATGCTGGATATCATAAAAGAAAAAAGTACTAGTAGGTTTTAAGTTTTATAGCACTGTACTTTTTACTTTACTTGAGTAATATTATTATGAAGTATTGACACTCTTACTTGAGTAAAATGTATATATATATATATATA